GAAAGCAAAGGGAGTAATAAAATTTTCTTCACTGATAGCTTTTTACTTTCACTCAGTTCATATATTTGTTATGGTTTAAACGCAAAATAAAGTCTCCGTGATTGAAGAACGCGTTTTTAACGTTTTGAAAACGGGGTCCGCCATATAGATAAACGTCCCAATAAAATATTCGTCCCGATAGATACGTCTCTATACATACACGTCTCAATAGATTTACGTCTCGTTAAATTTACGTTCCGATAGATCCACCAACAGATTCCTATAAACCCACGTATCTTTAGATCCAGGTACCGCTAGATCCATCTATATATCTGACATCGTAATCGGCTAAAAGGCCGATATCAACTTGTGTTACAGGTATGAGGCTTTCGAGTGATAGTCTGGCTGCGAATACTGATCCGCTTAGTGATCTGACTTAATTACAACCTGATATTTATTATTTATTCATTTATTTATGTATTTATATATTTATTAGGTGTTCAAACAAGACATACATGTACGTTCGCGTCTACACGTCTATCACACTCTAAAGTTCGGGAACGCGTCGTAAACATGAAACAGAACACATGTTAAGTGTGCAAATGTTACATTTTGAGAACGCTTTAAACAGTGTTCTGACGCTAGAACACTGAGCGTTGTGAAATATAGAACACGTTTTTATTTTTTTTATGATTTTTCACTGAGTATTGTGTGAAAACGATCTAGTAGAATAATATATTGCTGAAAGGATTAATATGTGTACTGTCGTTTTAAAGAAGTGCATTTTATGTACTGAGTAGTATACCAACCATTTTGAGCAAAAGCATACCTGTAATGGATCTATCGGTATTTGGATCTCAAAATACGTGGATCTATAGGTATGCGGATTTAAAGGACGTGGGTTTATGAGGACGTCGCATCTACAGGAACGCAAATATATAGGACAGCAGTAAAAAAATCGGATCTATCGGTATTTAAATCTAAAAAGACGTTTTTTCAGTTTTTCCTTTATGTATCTATCGGTAACGGGAGTATAAGGACGTGTAATATTTTGGGACTAAATTTTATTTGTACGTACCCTTGAAAACAGTCGAATTTAAATAATTTTAAGTAGGCCAACAGTAAGTGAAACTAACCAAGTCGTGCTATTTCTGTTACTTAATTGGGTAGATGGGGCGGTACAGGTAGGGGAGACCGGGGTAAGTTGGTCCCCATCAATTTAGGATAAAGCAACTATGGGGTAAAAGAATTGATCACATCATTTTATAAAGTGACCGTATCTAATAGTGCTAAGAAAGCGTCGGTAGTGAGTCCAAATAAAATAATTTAGCATCTTAAAGTAACTTTATTATAGAGACCTGATGGGGGGCAACTTACCCCGGGGTCCAACTAGCCCCGGTCTCCCCTACTTGATTATTTTGTTATATTATTATATTTATTATGTTATCTGTACAAGGTGTAAACTATGGGTAGACTTGGCTTTGTCTTTTCCCAATTCTTCAGAAGTTCCTTTCTTTTCTTTAATTGGACGTAAGCGGAGAAAAATACTTGTTAACCCCTCTTTTTATGTAATGAGCAATGATAGCATGTCAAAATGTTGTCAATTAGTATTAAAACAAAAGATTAAAAGACAGATCTATAATAAGTGCTGAGATGAATGTGCCGCCATGTCCGATCCGATGTGTTAGTTGTGACGGATATCTTGGGGTCACATTCACTGCGGGTCTTCTCTGACTTAGGCCACACTTTTTTAATTTTATGGATGACATCCTGCGCGCGCACCGATTTTCGTCCGTTCTCCGAAAAAAAAAAA